GTAAAACCATGTGATGCCCTTTGTTAGAACGCTAAACAAATGTTGGTACCACGATGCTAGACTTGGCAACCTCCAGAACTATAATTCAAATTTACATCTATCCCTGCAAATTGCCTAGACTCGGGCATTCTGTTATAACAACAGAAAACAGATCATGACCCTCGTCCATGTTTCCTAGACTAACCTGACCATTGAATCTGTCCATCTTGAAACAGCATTGACATCTTAAGGTACTGTGTCTTAGGAGAATGCTATCTGGAAAATTCTTTTTCTTCTATATATCATCCAAACGAACAGCAGCAAGTAAATGGCTTTGAAACAGGGAGTATGGGAGATGCAAAGCAGTTCTGGGGTGTCAATATTAGAGAGGGGACATAATTTATGAAACAAATACTGGACTTCAGGTCAGAAGACCCTCTATTCCTAACTCTGTCCCACAGCTTACAATAAATTGTTGGGCAAATCATGCTACTTCTGGGCAACAGACTGGTCCTCTGGGTAGGAGATATGCTTTAACAAAGAGCCATACTCCACCCTTTTAAACTACTGGCCACCTCCAGAAGTCTGTGTGGTAGATTTAACTTTATAGTTTAAAAAGCCGTCCTTTGGGGCTGAGTGTGTGGCTCAGCATAGAGAGTTTGCCTAGCATGTTCAAGGCCCTGGGTTCAACCATCAGCATTTGTCTCCCACAAAGCAGCCTGGGTGAATTAACACACGTAAAGTCTTAAAGCCCTCTTTCAGAGTGTGGTCCCTCTAGCTTTGTTTGATGGAGACATGAGACTCTTTAGACGTGCAGCTGGGAAGATCTCAAAGCTCAGCTCCAGATTTCTAAGTGAACCCTGGAAGCCAAATTATGTCAGGGGCATAACTACACCTGCCTACTGAAGTTCTGAGCAAGTCATACAAAATTCAGGAAGACACAGATCTGTGAGGCGATTGGCGAGCGAGAACGGAACTTGAGATGCCCCTATTTGAAATCTGAGTCCTTGGCTCGTTTTTTCTGAACACTGTGTTTCCAAAGATACAACCTGGTGATTTGTAGTGTTAGCTGCAAAATTCATTGTTGCTCAGCACAATCCACTCCATTCAGCTTTTGTTCTAGAGCGATGAAGAGAGTTCAGTTCTTGATAGATCCTAGGAGGCTTTCTCTCTTTCTCTTTTTTTCCTTTCCTTCTTCGCTTCCTTCCTTCCTTCCTTCCTTCCTTCCTTCCTTCCTTCCTTCCTTCCTTCCTTCTTTTTCAAGACAGGATTTCTAACTCACAGAGATCCATTCACCTACCTCTGCCTCCCAAGTGCTGGGGTTAAAGGCACCAACACCAACGCCAGGAGCGAGGTTCTTTTGCTTGGTAACTCAGAAGAGAAAGTTTAGGGGAGAAATTCAGCAGTGGATTACTGTTATAAATACTGCTCTAGGGGGTGCTAAGCTGAACACGTTTTTCCTTGCCAGTAAACAGAAGCCTGCTAAAATAGCAGGCTTAGCCAAAAATGTTTACAACGTGGATTTAAAACAGTATCTGAAGCCAGGAGGTGCACGCCTTTAATCCCAGCACTCAGGAGGCAGGGGCAGGCGGATCTCTGTGAGTTCCAGGACAGCCCAGTCTACAAAGCTACAGAGAGAAGCCCTATTCAAAACAACAACAACAACAACAATAATAATAAATAATAATAATAATAATAAAATGGTATCTGTCCATTGATAAGCATGATAAAAATTGTAGTCTCTGCTTGGAATGTGATGTAAGCATTGTGGCAATACCTATTTAATATTGTTCATGAGTGTGGACATGAACATTTGTGTTTAGGCACACATATACATGTGTGGATTCTAGCGGACAGGCTTAGGTGTTGTTCCTTCAGGACTGTCTATCTTTTATCTCTTTTAAAGACAGGGTCTTATTGACCTGAAGCTCACCTAGTAGGCTGGAGTGCCTGGCCATCAAGCCCTCAGAATCTGTGCATCTGTGCCTTCCCAGGGCAGGGGTTAAAGTGTGTGGCACCACGCCCAGCTTTTTTTATGTGGGTTCTGGTAAAGAAAACAGGTCCTTGTGCTTTTGAGGCAAACCCTTGATAGACTGAGCTATCCAGCAGTTTAGTTTGAGCTTCTAGGACAGCCCAGGTAAGGATTGTGTTCGCCACCTCTGAATAATTGTGGGAACACTGTACTGATCCAGTGTGGCCCCTGTTAGTCAGCAGGCCCCTGTCATCTGGTTACTGGTTTTGCTGCCTTTGCAAACATGCAGCCCTGTGGCACTGAGGTGTAGAGAGCCGATGTGTGGGTCAGTTCCAAGGCAGTTTGAGAGTTCAAACCATTCACTTGTTTGTTCTTGTTGTTATTGTTTGGATTTTTGGTTTTGGTTTTTTGAGACAAGGTTTCTCTATAGCTTTGGGGTCTGTCTTGGAACTCGCTCTGTAGACCAGGCTGGCCTCGAACTCACAGAGATCCATCTGTCTCTGCTTCCCAAGTGCTGGGATTGAAGGTGTGCGCCACCACTGTCCGGCCCATTCACTTTTTTTTTTTTTTTTTTTTTTTTTTTAACACAAACTGTTCTCCACATAAGGAAACAGACTAACTTATCTTTCTCTTTCCTGTCCTTGTAACTCTAAAAATGTCCATCCTAACAGTGTGTAAAGGGCTTACAATATTAAGCGAGCTTTAAGGGCTACTGAGGAGAATGGGAAACGGTGGCAAAGCATGTGTCCCCTGGTTCTGGTTCCAGTAGCAGTGTTCTTGAGTGCTGTGAGGGCAAACACACAGAAGCAAGCATTGGGACTCTGTGTCAGAGACCCCAGGGAAGAAGGCCCCACAAGCAGATCCTCTGCCAACCCAAAACAGAACTAGTAGCACAGTGCTTGGTACACAGCAGGGGCTGATAAATGCTTGTTAAATGCTGCCATCCGGGAAACTGGTGAGTAGTTGTGTAAATGACTTCTGTGAGCCGCTTATCTGGGTGACTAAAGCCTTTGTGTCATGTGCGTTGGACGCATGCCCAACACCTAGCTCCTGCTTTCTCAACCAGGGTGGTGTTGACATCTTGGGCTAGATAATTCTGTTGGGGAAGGAGTAGGGAATGCTGTTTTGTGCATTGTCTAGCACTTAGCTCTATCCTTGGCTTCCACCCACTAGGTCTCAGTGGTGATCTCCTCTCCCTCCTCAGAGGGCAGCAATGTCTCCAGACATCACTACATGTCCTGATGCCAGGGGATTGTGTAAGATGACCCCTGGCTCTGTATATCGCTTATCTAGTCTGTACATTCATGGTAGCCATCAGCATCAGAATTATGGCTCATTCTCTCTCTCAATATTTTTCTTCTTTTTAATTTTTAATTTTGTTTTAAAAAAATGTTTGCCCATATGTATGTCTGTGTACCATGTGTTTGCCTGGTGCCCGTGAAAACCAGAAGAGGGCATTGCAGCCCCTGTACTGGAGTTACAGATGGTTGGGAGCCACCATGTGGGTGCTGGGAATCGAACTTGGGTCCTCTGGAAGAGCAGCCATTGCCCGTAACTGCTGAGCCGTCTCTCCAGCCCTCCTTGTTGTTTTTGAATCGGCGTTGCTCTCATCTAGTTCTTTATTTGTACTCATATAGCTAGCAAGAGCTTCCCTGGGAGCCTCTATGAAAGTTAAAAGGACCTGTTCCCCCTGAGGGGAAGGGCAATATATAGAAATTGGATATGTCGATGGTAAGACTGATTTACAGAGTGAACGTGCCTGCCTTTGGACCCGGCAAAGAGGACAGTCCTAGTTCCTAAGTGGAGTTCATGTCGTCTTCTGTGTTAAGAGGAGCTACCTTCCTTTGCTTGCTATACATTATTGCATCTTAACACCAAACCTCCAAGGCGTGTGCATGTTTGTGTACATGTACATGTATGGATTTATGTACATGTGTGTGGAGGCCAAACATTGAAGGCTAGCATCCTCCCTTATCACTTTTCTACCTTCTTTGTATGTGTGTAGTGTCTGTGTGTGCATATGCAGTATGCACATACATGTGTATACACCTGCTTGTGGAGAGTAGGGGCTGATGGTGAGCATCTTCCTCTATCACTTCTATACCTTATTTGTGTCCATGTATGTGATACATGCACAGTGTGTGTGTGTGTGTGGGGGTGCGTGCGTGCGAGCGTGCACACCTGTATACATTCGGAGGCCAGAGGTTGACATCAAGTATCTTTCAACTATCAGACTTACCTTTTGAGATAATACCTCTCATGGAACCCAGCGCTTGCCAATTAGCTAGATTAGCCAGCCAGCCAGCAGGCCTTAGGGGTCCATCATACTTCTACATAGTTGCCAAGGATCTGAATTCAAACCCTCATGCTTGTATCTCTGGCACTTTCTCAGACAAGCCATCTCCCCAGGCTCTCTACTTACTTTCTGAGACAGGGTTTCTCACTGAGCCTACAGCTCACTGATTTGGCTACAGTGGCACGCACCAAGCCCCATGGATCCCTCTCTACCTCCCCCGCACCGAGGTTGCAAGCACACATCCTCACACCCAGCTTTTTTTCTGGGGGATTCTGAACTAAAGTTATCATTCATGCCAGGGAAGCTCTTTGCCAACCGAGTCACCTCAGCCTCTCTCTTCGTGGTCTTTGGATGAACCTCCCCCGCCCTGGCTTTGTTTTTATTTACTACCTACTTATGTTATAAGTATCAGGAAAATGTCAGCACACACTTCATGAGCAGTCTTTCTCAGTAAATACCTCTACAAGCTGGAAGGACCAGCAGCCTTAAGCATCCTGCCCAGAGGGATGGTGCAAATGAAAAACCTAGAACCATAGCATTCTGACAAAACTCCACAGCCAATGGGCAATCTGCTTGAGAACAACTACACATCCATGTCCAAGGGTGAGAAATAATTTATGACAAAGCTCACGAAAAATTCTAATTTCATTCATGTTGCTACAAGTATAGCTTCACGCTTTTAAAAAAATGTGGGCTGGTAGCATTTTTCTACCTCTCCTTCCTTACAGTGTAGAGCTAACCAGGTGCCCTTACCTCTCCTCCGGTGCATGGAAAAGCATCTGAGTATCTAGACGTGCAAATAGCTCCCTTCTTGACAACATCATCTTCCAGGCCAAAAGTAGCTGAGCAGTTGGTTGCAAAGTACTTGTAAGGCTTCCATGTCTTTCCAAAGTCCTGGGACCGGTCCAGCACCATGGCTGCAGGTCTGGGAGACTTGAACACCATAATTAGGTGAGTGAAATAGAATTCTGCTTCCAGGTCTAACTGGATCTTTTCCCTGTGCACATCCTCTGCAGACTGCCACCATGTACGGGGAAACCTGAAGGATGAGTCTGCCATAGCAGAGGGCAGGTGGGCCAGATGAGGGTGAGCAGCGTTGCACTTGTCACATTTGGGCTGCCGGCAAGTGAGGTCAGCGTTCTCGCTGTAGAAGCAGAACAGTTCCGTGGCGTTCTGACCACAGGTGCTGTCTGCCCGGAGTTTTCTTCCCAAAGCCAAGTTTCCCATGCGAGGGTTGCAGGCCTTCTCACAGCGGGAATTAGCTCCAGCTACTCCACTCAGTCCTAAGGAGGGGAGAGCATATGTCAGTCAAGGCAGACCCATTGGAAATGCGTGCCTGGTTTATAGACAGCAGTCAAGACATCCTCCAAAGACCTTGGGCCTTTCCATAAAGAGAAGGAGCTGCCAAACTGGATCATGAACACTGTCAGGCTTGTACATGAGCATGTGTGTGCTTGAAAGACAGATGGTAGTGTGTTTGTGTGTGCAGTTAAATGTGTGTACAAGTGAATATCACATATGTGCATGCGGAGGTCAGAATATCGAGTATGTGTGCATGTGTGTATGTGCGCGCGCATGCGTGTGTGCAATTAAATGTGTGTACAGTGAATAGTCACATATGTGCATGTGGAGGTCAGAATATCAAGTGTGTGTGCATGTGCGTGTGTGCACACTCATGCTTATGCATGTGTACTACATGCACAGAGGTGCATGAAGAAGCCAGAAGAGGGTACTGGATCCCCTGGAACTGGAGTTGCCCATAGTTGTGAGTCCTAGTGTTCAGTGCATCCTCTGCAAAAGCAGCGAGTGCTCTCAATCACTGAGCTATCTCTCCTACCCTTCTCCTTGTGTTTTTTTGAGGCCGGCTCCCTCATTGGCCTGGAACTTGCCAAGTAAGCTAGACTAGCGAGCCCGGGAGACCTACGGATCTACTAGTCTCGTCTCGGCCCCTCCAATGTTGGGTTGTAACTTTCTGATGTGAGTGCTAAGGATGGAACTCAGCATCCCATGTTTGTGTGACAAGCATTTTAGCAACTGAGCTAGTGATCTCCCTGTCTACTTCATTTTCTTTATTCTCTAGGAAGTTATTAATTCTCTAGGTATCCAACACAAAGTATTTAATAAATACACAATGGGACCTCAGTTCAGATGGCAAAGCTAGAAACCTCTGGATCTCAAATGGATGGTATCCATGTCTAATATTAACTAAATATAACAAGTAAAAAAAAAAAAAAAAAAAAAAAAAAAAAAAAAAACCACTCCAAACTACCAATGACAGGAAAGCTTATTGTCTCTGCTTTCTGCTCCTTAAGAGTCTCTTCCTGTGGCAGGTTGTATGGTTCTTACCTGTTGGCTTAGCTGGAGAATGTTGATGGTCTGGCACACCAAACCACACCTCTAACAACAGTCATAAACTAAAAGAGATATGCTCTTCCTCACAAAGCTCCCACCCACCTTAATGCTTCAGGAGCACTTAGAGTGTCTAACAGCGTCCTCTCACTCACACTCTGGCTACATGTCATAATCCCTTAATTTGGGTTTGTCGTTTTAATTGTGACTACCACAAGCAAGAAAAATGTCCATTTAAGAAAAATTAAAACACAGAGGAAAAGAAAGAAAAGGAAACCAAAGCCCAAATTCTGGCTAATTGGATGTTTCTGTTTAAGAGACAGACCTCTGAATTGTTATCACAGGGGCATTGCTTGGAGCCAAATGACAGCTTTCACTGGAGAGGAGAGATTTCACACACTGACAGTCATCACCTCACACGGGCTTGCCACCAAAATAAGGGGTTTCCTCGGGCATTATTTCTTAAGTGTCAAATGAAAATGTGCACCATGCCCAGACTATTTGCCATTGTTCTGATTAGCAGGCACAACAGCTGCCTGTGGCCAGAAACACACAAACACAGTGTTCTATGACTCACCTGAGAGGCATTCCAGGGGGAAAAGCGCATACTGCCTGTACAAGTATCTTTGACTTGCAACACTGGCCTTGTGTTTATTTACAACCTCTTGATTGCTCCCATGGTTTTATACATACATACATACATACATATATATAGTGTGTACATATACATATACATATGCATATGCATATACATATGCATATATATATTGCCATAGCACAGCTTGAAAAGAGAAGCGTTTATGGAAAGTGCTCTTTTGGGAGGGTAGATATGCAATGCACAATAAGGAGTGTGAGCAAGGGAGATCTTTAACAGTGAGATGTTTGATGGATCCTTGGGGGGGGCAATGAATAACAGTTTCCACACCCTAATAATTTGATAATCAATAGTTATCAGTGAGCACAAACATTGGCGATGCCTGAAGAACTGACATTGGGGGGGGGGGTATGTACTGATGGAGGATGCTGACTCTCCAGCTAGCAGCTCCGAGGAGAGCTTGGAAGCAGCCCGACCCAAGAGATTCCAATCTTCCAGTTGGTTCCTCTAACCCATACTCTGCTTTCCGGAGCAAATCAACGTCCATCTGGGAGAGGATGAAACCAGGGTGCCTCACAATCTTTACCCTGTACCCACACACACACACACTGTGCTCTACTTAGCCCAACTGAAAGCCAGGTGGCCTGCCAGAAGGAAGAGAATCAGAGAGGGGCTCAGGGACTCAGAAACAGCGAGCCTGGAACTGATGGCCTAAGGGCAGTCCAAGACAGCCAGGACCCGAGTGGGAGGGAGAGGGCATCTGACGGTTGCCCATAGTCCAGTTACTGAGCCAAGGAGCAGACAGACCCGCCTCTGACCTCCTGCAGAGCCCCGGCCAGGGTACCAATTCCCCAGGGGCGGTCAGCCAGCTCCGGGCAATCACCACCTGAGTGATCACCCCCCATGGTTCCCAGCCCTGAGTTCTACTGCGTTGCAGCCACCGCCCCGGGGAAGAGGGCGCTCACCCTCACCCCAGGTGGCCCTACCTGGTTCCCTAGTACACAGAGTGAGATCGGGGAACTGAGAAAGCGGTCTCAGCCCACGCAAGCTCGGGGTCTCTGAGCCACCCCTCCTCAGGCCACTGAGAGCCCGGGGATGGCGAGCTGGGTCCTTTGTTCCCGTCGCCAAGTGCAAAGGCAGTTTTTTGTTTTTTGTTGTTGTTGTTTTTTTTTTTGTTTTTCTCAAGCCAAACCCAGAAAGAAACACTGATCTCTCTATCTCCTGCAGGGCGTACCCAGGATATCTGGTTATTCAAGGACATGTGTATCTCAGTTGCAGAGGGGGGAAAAATCAAGTGTTTGAAAGTGCGGAGTCGCGGGCAAAGGAGCCGGAACATGGCCACTCGCTTCATCCTCGGTAGCGGAGCGCAGAGCTCCCTGTCCGGGGTCCCCTACATCCCCCAGTCCCCGAGCTTGGGGGAGGGGAGCGGGAGCAAGGGAAGAGGGGTGGGGGCCCGGCCGCGTCACCACCCACCTGCGGCCACCGCCGAGCAGCCCCAGAGCAGCAGCAGCCGTGCGCAGCTCCCCATGGCCGGGCAGCGGCGGGAGCGGGTGGGATGAAGCGCCAGTGGTCCTCGGGAGCACCCGGGGCTCTGTGGTTCTTCTTCCTCCCGGGGCGCCAGGCTCGCTCAGTGGGCACCGTGGGCGCGGAGCCGCGGGCCGGGGCCGCGCCAGGCTGCGGGGTGACCGTCGCGCACCGGCCTGGCGGGGCCCGGGCAGCTCAGGAACAGCGGGAGCCCCGGGACCATAGCCGGCCTGGCCGCTGCCCGCAGAGCGGCCCGGAGGGCGGGTGAGCCGCTCGCTCGGGGCTCGGCGCCCGCAGCCAAAGCTGAACTTTGCGAGACCTTTCACTTCCCGGCCGCCGCCGCCTCCCGGCCGTCCTCCTCCGCTTTTCCCACCTCCTGTGGCCGCCGCGGCTCGGTCCCGTCCTTCTCCATGGGCAGTTCCATGGGATGCATTTTTATTGCACCGACACCGCGGCGCTCCGGTGCCAGCCCTCCTCCTCCCCTCGCACCTCCACCCCTTCCCCCCTCCCCCCCCCCCCCCGCGAGCTTGACAGCCCGGGCGGTGCAGACGCTCGGTCCGGTCGTCATCACCGGCGCCCCGGGAGGGGTCCCTGCCGCCCCCGCTGCGCGCATCTCCCCGCCTGACCTCGCGGGTGCCCTCCAGCACCCACGGGCCTCTCCTGGGAAGCAGTCTCCCACCTTCTCCAGGAACATTCCTGAGAGCAGTTGACTCCCTCCCGATCAGGTCAGGGCATGCCAAGGGGCTTAAAAACCCGCGAAACAGGCGAGCTATTACTTTCCAAAATCACCCAGAAAAACAAGCCCACACCCCTCCAGTCCACGGCACCCTTTTCCCTGGGAGCCCCTCAGTCTGGGTTCGGAACCCCCAATTCAGCCTGGGGTACCCGCACTGAGCATGCACCAAGTGCCAAGAGTCCTCTGAGTCTTTGCTGTCTTTTGGGGGTGCAGCCCAGGGAACAGCTACTGCCTGCAGGAGCAGAGGGTGTACACGTTCTCTCTCATCAAACCCAAGGGTCTGAAAGACTAGGATCCCTGACTCTTTAAGAACATCCCGGTCTAGAGCAGGGAATAAAAAAGAGAACGCCTGGGTCCTCAGTCAACATTTTTCATGGTACGGTGTGCAGGGGAACGATAATGTTATGAAATATCTTATGGGGAGCAATTTAGCAGCAACCACAAAGCAGCTAATTGTAGCTCAGGGCTGGTGTTTATGGAAGGAGATTAAATAGCACTTCAGCCTGGGACTTCTGTAACTTCTGTGAAAATATAATTCTGCTTACACATCCCAGGAAACTGGCAAAAGTTAAGTCGAATGCAATTTTGTATTGCAGCATTCAGAGTTTGCCTTTGAATATTTTCCAGAAAATTAACTGCTTTTCAGATAACATTCAGTTATAAATCGTCAACATTATCGATGGGGTAATTAGAGCTTCGGGGGCACTCGTGGATGTTATTTATAATGACCCAGCTGGGGACAAAATGAGTATTTCTATCTCCCAGAAGGAACGTAGTTGAGGTTAGCATAAGCCACTAGGGAGGCGTTAAAATTATTCTTTTGGCCAATAACTGGGAGTGGGAGCCGCCATTAGCTTTAGAAACCCTGTGACTTTTCAAATCCTGGCAGTGTTGGAGCCTTCTTTGGCTCGCACATGTAAAGCTCCCGATGAAGTCGCTACAATGCTGTTCCAACTGTTCTTTCTATTTAAAAAAAAAAAAATGACAGGAAATTATAACAGGCTAAGGCCCTCGGCCCAAATATTAGCCTACTAGCCAAGAGAAAAGGAAGAGAACGACAGTATTTACTTTTAATCTCTGAGTGAATATATTGAGGCAGAGCTAATCCATGTCTGGTTATGAATCTCCGAAGCATTTTCAGTCTGCACCAATGCCCTGAACTTCCCTGGTTGCTTTGTAACTGGTTTTTTGCTCCTTCAAGAAAACTGCAAACTCCTTAAATGGCAGCTAGACACTTAGTCTATGCAAGACGCAATTATGTTTCCTCTTACTTTGCTCCTTATTCTTAACTGAAGACACTTGTCAGACACTGAATGTTCACTGAATGTTTTGACTGAGTTATCGCAAAAGTATTGTTACATACTGAGACTAGAAACGGAGGAGAAACCCAGCTAAATAAGAGTGACTTCTGGCACTCTAGTGGAATGTGTGCTGTCTGCACCGATGCTTCATGTGTGGGCCAGCGCAGGAGAACAGGTAGTGAGTATTCCAGTAAATACTGTTAGGATGCCCTATGGTGGTTCCCACCTGGAATCCTCCCACTTGATAGTAGAGATAGAAGGATCATGCTCTCAAGGCCAGCTTTGGCTTCATAGCGAGTTTGAGGCTAGCCGTGACTACTTTAAAAAAAAAAAAAAAAAGTGCTAATCTAGTCTGAGTTGTCACAAATTATATTTTCATTTTGAGGAAAGGACTCAAGAGAGTTGACCATTTAAGAAATCTTTTCAGGGGTGAGGACATTACTGATTATGATCTTGTGTTATGAAATTTGGAAGAACTGATTCAGAATTTTCAGGGAGGGTTGGGGAAATAACAGAATTTCAACAGCAAGTTTCCAAATGTCTTGACAATTTTTTTAAGTTTATTTTTATTTTTTATGTGCATTGGTGTTTTGCCACAGAAGTGGAGTTACAGACAGTTGTGAGCTGCCGTGTGGGTGCTGGGAATTGAACCCAGGGCCTCTAGAAGAGTAATCAATGCTCTTAACTGCTGAGCCATCTCTCCAGCCCCTTATCGTGATAAATCTAATTGAGAATATTCCTGATAACTTGGAAAGATGTTAAGAGGGTCTCTAATATCTAAAATAGATGGCAAAAAAGTCCACACACCAAAGAACTCACTCACGAGTGACCTTGTGCCCTATTTAAACTTTTCCTCCAATCTCAGTGTCTCCTTGGGATGCTTTCTGGGGCTCAGTGTATTAGGACAACACGATCAAATGCAGCAGGATCCTGTTAAAGAGAAGGAATGAACAGAGACAGCTTAGTAATCAAGAGGATGACGAAACTGCAACAGCAGACATTAAAACAAACATACAAGTAGCAGTATCTATCCCCACTAAAAAGTCCCCCAGGGGCTAAGGCCTGGTAGTCCAGAGATAAAGCACCATAAGGTGATAAAGAGACCGCTCTATAAAAACTCAGGACAAAACCCGATGACTGAACCCTGGGCCCCAACTTCTCGCCCCACCAGGAGCCTGCGTTCGCCATGAAATCTTTGCCATGCAGTTTTTCTTGTGAGCATCCCAATCAGCAAAAGAGTCAAAGCATCCCTTCTGTTTTCAGGATTTATGTAACTGTGGCATTTACCTTCTTACAGGCATTTGCAATGATACAGAGTAAATGCAAGTTATCTCGTTGTGTGTGTGTGTGTGTGTGTGTGTGTGTGTGTGTGTGTGTGTGTGTGTGTTGCGAGTAGATCTCATTAAATAGCCCAGATTGCTCTGGTCTGGATCCTGCTATTGATGTAGCTCAGGCTGACCCCAAACTCTGCATGCTTCTGCCTTAGTCTTCTGAGTACTGGGACAAACACACAACACATGAGAAGTCTCTCACACTCTGAAACTGAGTTTTTGGTTGCTCTGTTTAAACGCCTTCTCCAAGTTCTTTTTTTTAACTCCTCTTTATTTCCCCTTATCAGATATACCCCAACTTCCCTTGTATTCTAACTGTGATCAGTTAGAATAAAACAAAACTTACAGTGCCCTTAATGAGTCTAGGGCTTGTATTTGTGTAGCCTAAAAATATATCCGAGGTTTTGTGACACTGGCTGATCATGCTTGAAATAAAATCCTTTGTATATATTGATTTCTTACAGGCCATTAAGATTTGGTGATTTGATTCATACAATAAATATTCACTCAGTATTTTAAAATTGCAGTTTCAAATTGCTAAATTTAAAAGATAGGGGATATAACTCAGTTGAAAAAGTACTAGTCTTGAAAGCAAGGAGGACCTGAGTTTAACCCCTAGAACCATGTTTTTAAAAGAAATGCTGAGCATAGGGACACTTGCTTGTCATCCCAGCACTGAGGAGGTGGAGACAAATGATCTGGGGTTCCCTGGCCAGTTCCAGGTCGCTGAATCTATCTTAAAATAAATAAATAAATAAATAAATAAATAAATAAATAAATAAATAAATAAATAAATGTGGATGGTGCTTAAGGAACTATGCCCAAGGTTGTGCTCTGTTCTGCACAGGCAAATGCATAGGTATGTTCTCTCTCTCTCTCTCTCTCTCTCTCTCTCTCTCTCTCTCTCTCTCTCTCTCTCTCTCACACACACACACACACACACTAACAAAAAAGTTAAAAACTAAAAAATTGTCAGAATATTTCAAATGAACTTTTTCTCCTAGATAGGGGAAAAAAAAATAACTACTTGCTATTCTACTCATGTGTCTATATCAATAGTGAAAGGGAGGTCTCTGAAAGGGGACTTATTTCATTATATCTTATACCCTTCCTTTAAAGATCAAGAACCATTATCTCTTTTGCCCTCATTGCATGAGTGTGTGTGTGTGTGTGTGTGTGTTCTAACCCGCAGAGAACTGTACAAAGAGAAAGTGACAGGAGAGATGTCATCACTAAACAAGATCATAAATATGTAAACACTTGATGAACTTGATGGCGCTAGGGCCTAGGTTTGTAGGTCAGAATGTCATTGTGAATCTGTCTTCTGGGGCTACAGCCTTCTCTCCCTTCAGAGCTGGAAGACCTTGTGGAGGCTGAAATCATCTTCCAGTCTGTTTTCTTCCTGGCCTCTGCCTTCAGGTGCCCTTTTAGGAGCATCATCTTAGGAATTTCCTCAAGCTTTAATCTAAGCCAGTGGCACTGTTTCTTATTTCACACACTGCCAGGCCACAGCTGCTCATTCCCAGGGAGGGAGGAGGGAGACCTTTGAAAAACACACCTCTTTCTTTAGAAAACATGCTCACCTGATCTCCCGTGTTCTAGTTAATGAGATGGAGCTGAGTAAACTGAAAGCAACAAGCTCCTACCTCTGTTACTAATGCAGACATGGCCACTACCAACGGCGCTGCATCCACAAACGCTTCAGCCATTTTCTTCTCAAAGACTGTTAGCTCCAACCACGTTAGGTAGGAGCTCTCCCATTGAGATACATCACACACACACACACACACACAAACACACACACACACACACACACGCCTTCCTACTGTAGAATAAAAAGCTGATTGATGGTAGCTAGGCTGGGTTTTCTGGGCAGAGAGAATGCTGGGAAGAAGAAGGGCGGAGCCACAGGAGTTTCCAGCCAGATGAGAAAGGAGCAACATGGATGAGGGATGAGATAAATGAATCTTGGGGCAGCACATAGATTGATAGGATTTGATTGATTAGTCTACCTACACCTTCCTCTTTTTTTTTTTTTTTTTTTTTAATTTTGAGACAAGATTTCTCTAAGTTATCCAGGATGGTCCTGAGTTCAACATTTCAACTGGTTATCCT